AGACTGGGCTAAACCCTCTGCCCCTTGTTAAAAAGGGGCGGGGGGGGGGGGAAGAAAAAGAGAATGCACGCAACACAAGCTTCTAATAAGTATATTCACAACTTCTACACAAGGCGCTTAAGAAAACTAAAAGGTTAATATATTCTAACTAGATGTTAGGTATAGAATGTCAGATCTGTCAAATTTCATTATAACTTGCTGCTCATTGGAAAAGATTTGATTTCTTTTGCCACGTCCTACTATGTTCAAGTCACAGACTGCCAGCAGCAGCCCACTGAAGACCACAGGCTGGCAGTGAGCGGGCTCGAGTGGGAAAGCAGCCGCAAGGACCATCTGTTTCCGATTTCTAGCTGAGCCAAGATGTGCAGTGAAGTGCATTCCATTCACCAGGCCAGCTTCTCCCCTGCTCAAGTTATTAGTGTTACAAGTGAGATGATCTTTTCCAAACAGCGGGGGAGCCATAATCCTTATGGAGCAGGATTTTAACACACACACATACACTCACAAAACATACACACACACCACCACCACCACCAGTTAGACATCTTTTGTTAAAGTTGTGAGAAAGACTGCTTATAAATTTAATTACAGCCTTCATGAGGTTTATAAAGCATGTTTTATTAAAGCAATAATAATCTCAGAGGCAGTGGTACATACATCGGCCTCACTGTGTCTCATTGAATGATCCAGTATTTTTGGGATAGTTTTTATGGATATGTTAAGATATATGTTAAACCATTCTTCCAAAACATACTCAGTTTAGGGGTAATCAGTAGGACCCTAGCTTACCGGGACAGGTGGAGTAATCTTGCAAACAGCACAGGATTGAATTCACTGTATAGGACAGATAAGCTATTTTTCTTGTATTTGGTCTCCATTGAAGGCTAAGCATTTTAAGAAAAGTTAGGAGGGGATGTAAGAAGGCTGATTGTATGATAATGCAATGGAAATGCTACTCTGAGAATCTGAGATCTTAAGTAATTAATGTCATAAATGTGTGTTTGGTAACAGGTGATTGACACCATGCCAGGTACTCAGGATTCCAAGGGGAAAGACACGTGGCTTGCCCTCCAGGTACTCACTAGCTCTCACGGAGGAGGAAGCAGGCACAGGAGTAGGCATGTACGTTGCAGTTCAGAAAAAGCAAGAAAAGTAGTCTTGGCTCTTGTACATACATGGCATGTGACTCTGTGAAGTCACATGTCCTCTGTAACGTCATCTATAAAGTGGAGATGGTGTTGGCCAGTTTGCGGGAGTGCTGTGAAGAGGAAATGAATTGTTACCTATGTAAAAGAACAAGAATCCCGGGTGCACATTTAGCAGGCATTCCGCCTGGCTGGTTTCTGTTCCTTTTGTTTATTCTTAGAATCCTAGAGCCTGTAATGTATCTCTTTTGTGAATGAGAGGCTGCCATGTGACTTGGTGTGGATGGTCCTGTGGTATGATCTCGATTCGATACCTCCCCAGGGACATAGTAGCCAGCATCTTTCAGTTGAACTGCCCTCCTCTGGGAGGGAGAAGCTGTTTAGCCTGGAGGCTCTTCTCTGGGGCAGGCTCTGTTGGGTCATATGCAGTTATTAATAACTAGGATCCTTACCAATGCTTTGGTTCCTGGTCAATGATTTTTATAAAAATGAGTTTTGTGTTGTTGAAGCCAGAGATCACATAAACAGCCACTTAAAGTAAGTTGGGAAAAAAAATGAGGCCCAGCATTGATGACTGCTTAGAGTCATGGACCAAGTTGACGGCAGGAATGGATCTCCATCCCAGGAAGGCAACAGAGAGAGTGAGACTTTGGAATAACCTGTATAAGTTCATGTGGTAGCTGTTAGGATCAACACCTGCAGAGAGGTGATGGAAGTGGTAGGGGGAGGGTATGGGGGGACAGGGTTGAGCAAGCTGGGGTTAGAAATCACTTGGTCATAATAAAAGCCTAGCAAATCCTGGAGAGAACCTGGAAGCTGGGATGACCTTACAGAGTTACTCCAAATTGAAGTAAAGGGGCCAGGATATTGTACTTATTGAGAGTGTGCCTCTAGGTCCAAGGATAAAGCCTTCAGGCTAGACAACAAGCAAAGACTCAAGAGGGAGGGAGGGGCTGAGAGGGAGCTGTCATCTTGGGGAATGTCTCGATGTTGTGACCACAGGACCTCCCAGAACTGGAGATGTCTCCTGGCTTACTCATTCCTGCAACAGAAGTTCCCACTGGGCTCATATCCCAAGTGTCAGGAGCAGGTCTCCTCCTCCGCTTTTAACATAATCAATCCAGTGAGTTCAGGAAGGTCACCTCTCTTACAAACCACAGGGGGTCAGGGAAAGACAGACAGGGCAAGGAAAGAGTGTTGGGCATTTCCTGGCTTTCTAGTTGGCCAAGACAGGTGCCTTTCAAAGTAAGTATAAAAATATCTGGAGCTAAGTGTTTCTGGCTGGCTAGTGAGCCCCTGAGCTCGGCCTAATTTCTGTCACCCTATATAATTCTGGGGTTACAGGCACCAGCCACCATTCTGGGTTTTGATATTTGCTCTGGGGATCTGAACTCTGATCTTCATGCTTGTGTGAAGATCACGTTACTCACTGAGTCATCTCCCCAGCCCCTGAAGTATCATTTTCGACATAGGACTAAATATAACTATTAAGAACTAAACTGTTGCAGACCTATATACAATGGTCTTAATTTAGTAATTACATATAAGTGAGTATATATAATGTTTGTATTTTCAAATGATGGTGAAAGAATATACTAGAATACTTACTAGTTGTCACCCTCCAGACCTAAGGGGAATAATGGTGAATACTTTTTATCTCTATTTTTAGAATTTTAAAAATTGTAATTGCATATAAATGAAGTATGAAAGTGATTTGACAAGATGTGTGAAAATGTTTAAGACTCGTTGACTTCATATTTTCTCCTCAGGTATATCATTAAAAAGGTGGTTCCACTACTGTATATACATGCTCATTCAAATATTATTCAAAGTGGTAAAAAATTAGAAATAAATATTCCAGGCAATACAACCACATCAAAGCACATTGTGAAGCCATGAACGAAAATGTTGTTTACAAATGGAAAATGCTTATGCTGTAACAGTGTGAAAAAAGCAGGATGCAAAATTGAACACACAGAATGAACACAGTTCAGCAGAAACCCAACAATCTATTCATTTAAAGACAGAAAACATTCACATGTTAATGGTTGTGTACATAAGTGTTGAGATTATACGTTTTTTCTTTTCTGCTCTTATGCAATTTCAGAAGCTCTTTTAATGAGAGGCTGTTGTTTCTATAACAGAAACAAACAGAGATTCAAAACTACTGAAGCTGGAACTGTGTACTGACTGGTTGTTAGTCTTAAGCATTCTTCCAAACCCATCATCACCTGTACCTTTGTCTCCATGGCCTTGATTCTTTGCGGGGCATTCGTTCTGGGTATGCCAGCATGAGGACTATTCTTCCCCAGACCTAGGCTTCTTTGTCAGTGATGTCGTTCCTGATTAGATCAGGGTTTCTGGGGGATCTGGGGCTTAGATCTGTACTGTCTGGCATCTGGGCACCTCCTGAAAAACTCAACGCAATACTAGTGGTCCACTTTTATGATTTCCATTTTGTTTTTACAGGAATCTGATAAATGAAGAATGATCTCACTGTTTCAGAGCCACTGGGTTAGATGACTGAGACCCAGCTTCTTATCCTAGGAGTCATGGCCCTATGTGAAATTGTACAATTTAGTGTGTGTGTGTGTGTGTGTGTGTGTGTGTGTGTGTGTGTGTGTGCATCTGTGTAGGGGTTCACAATAGCTGACAACAGCGAGCGGTTTCTTGGATCTTTGGTTGTGAGCCTTTAACTGCCGAGCCGTCTCTCCAGCCTCAGAGAAAGTTTTCTGAATATGCAACAAACAAAAACGAATCCTAAGTTTGATGTGTAATGATTCTGAGGTGTTTTTGACAGTGCTCACCTGTGTTGCATCATGTGACTTCACTGCAGCCTTGGTTCTGAGAGCGCAGGCACACTTTGCCCTGCTGTTTGCTGTCATGCTGTGCTGAGCCTATGAATGCTGTTTGCAACACATGGCTCAGATTGGAGACTAGTGTGTATTATACCTTTCAGTGTTTGTACTGTCCATACAAAATTTTCTGCTCTTCTACAAACAGTGTTTTAACAGGGTGGTGGCGGCGGAACTGGGTGTATCTATTCCTCAGCATTCAAGATCAAATTAGTGTATATTTGTATTGCATTGCTTTGGATTATTATTTGATTTTAAAAATCGCTGTTTGAGTTACTGAATTGAGTTTCTTTAAAAAAACATAATTCAGTGGGTTCATGAGCTACCTTTGCTTGGTAAACAGATGGACCTTGAAAAGAATATACTGAATGAGGTAATCCAGACCCAGAAAGACAAATGCTGCAAATTCTTATGTGCAGTTTCTAGCTCCAAATCGTCAGATATGAGTATACACTGTGGAGTAGCCACAGAAGCCAGGAAAGTATAAAGAGGCCATGGCAGGGCAAGGGACTCGAGACAGGAATAGCAGGGATATGAAGCAAGAAAAAGAAAACTGGGGAGGGGATTGTCTGGTGAGCAAGGAAAGGTCCATAAAGCAGGAGGAGGAGGAAGAAATAACACCAACGTTATTTAATAAAGTTTCAAGGATCTTCTTTTATATTTACCTAAAAATCATATGAGATACGCACACATATTTATGGGTATGCGTGTATGTATATACCTTAAAGGAAGTTACACCATTGGGGCTGACAATGCTCCCCACCAGAATCAGACTAACAACCCCCCCAGGAACAGGCATGGGACGTCTTCCTTTTGAGTGACTGGTCAGGGTAATTCAAGAGACTCCTCAAACAGTATAGTCTATTATTGTTGCCCTTGGCTGCCTCTCGGAGATTGAAGCTAAACCCCTATTGCTGTACCCATACACTGCACACCCAGGACACAATACTCAAATTACTTGAGCTGGATCTGACCTGAAAGCCTCTTTCCTGTGGTCTAGCTTCCAGGGTACCAGAAAATACCATGTAAACTGCCAAGAGAGGGAAGCAATTAGTAGTCCCACCCAGTGATACCTACCAACCATGGCGTGACCAGAATGGCAAGATATCCACAAAGGCAGCCAACATGTGAGGTAAGTGGCACCCACATGTTGGTGGTAACCAGTGACTGTTTAATTGCACTTCAGCCCATTCAACGGGAGGAAAACCACACATGGTACTAGAAACCTATCCAACTTTCCCTGGCTAGTGAGGTCGTAGTTCTTAGAAGACACCCCACCACCATTCTGTTAGACCAGTTAATTCCTGACTACGTTCTAAATTTTATCCTTATCCCCACAGATAAGTGTAGCTGTCACCTTTTATCAGCAAGCTTCTCTTTACAGCAGATGAAGACCATCACAAAAATCCACAGCTGGACATGAAGCAGACATCAACAGTTCCTGTCGAATCCAGCCCCAACAGATACAGCTGCATCACAACTCCTCCATCTATGGTTCTGCCAACATCACAGAAAAGGGGATGGGGATGTAAGAACTAAAACCCCAGGAAGTCTGCTGTGAAACAGTTTCTCCTAGAAATGTCTGCACAAGCAAGATCTGAACAATGGCAATACCAATAGACAGGTTGACATGAAAGAGAAAAATCTCAGAGTCACATCCCTGCATAAGGAACTACAGGCAACTGATGACTGCTGAGAATGAGAGTTATGTTCTATCAGGAATAAGCTCCAATATTAGTTATTTAATACAAACAGCATCTCTGAAACCACACAAACACACACACATATACATATACATGTATATGTATATATATATATGTATAAAGCAAACAACAGAGTGGACTCGGCAGGTTGTATTTATATACTTGTGCATATATACATGTAACAATAATAATGGAACAAGAAGAGGCTATCAACTTAAGATTTTTGGGAACTTTGGGAGTAGCTAGAGGGAGAAAAGGGAAGAGGAAAAGTGTTGTAATTATATTTTAATTAAAATATATAAAAATTACAAAGTGAAAGCAGTCAATGAATTTTGTTTTGTGATTAGGGCAGTTTCTCATAATTTCTGAAATGGATCTAAACATACTGCTGCATTTTGTACTATGTATTTATGCAGAACAGTGTTCTCAGAATTGATGATTATAAAAATAAACATTGATCACTTAACAAACATTCAAGATGTTCTATATCCTTCAGTATCAAATCAGTCAAGGTTCAGTTCTTTGTGTGAACATTAACAAGCATATCCATCTTATTAGTAAGCAAATTTGATTTAATTTTTAATAAATGATCAAACTGTATGTATATCAAATAATTGCTTTAAAATATTTTTTTGTAATTTATTACCAGTAAGTATGTACCTATTTTATATACATATATATCAATGGTCATGTAAAAATTTCTCAGGTATAAAGGGGTTGTGAGTGGAAAGTTTAGGAAGTCTTGTTCTCCACTGTCTATATCTGAATAATATTTTTTGTAGTATAGCTGCTATTTATTTCTTATTTAACAAGTTTTAAGTTTGTTTTTAATCATAATAAAGATATATAACATTAAATTAACATTAACGTTTTAAGTGCAGAGTATTGTTAATTATACACACCGTGTCATGTTGAATAACTTAAGTCTTGGTCCTTTTTTTTTTAATCATTAGTCTCAAGACATTTTTAATTTATCTTGATTTATTCTTTGGCCCATTGACTATACAAGAGTAAGTTATTTATTTACACGTGTTTGAGAATTTCTGATCTTTACTTTCATTGTTAGGACTGGAAATGATGTTTAATATGACTTAAACCTTATTAAATTTAAGACCTTTTGTGATCTAACAGTCTATACGGCAGAATGTCCCATTACTCTTGGGAACAGTGAATTCTGTGTCCACTAGACGGAATATTCTTCATATGTGAGTTTACTCCATCTGGCCTATTTCTTTTTTTCAAGCCTATGGTTTATTTACTGATTTCTGTTTGAGGGTCCTGTCTATTATTGATAGTGGAATATTGTAATCTCCTACTGTTTTATGTTGCTGTGTATTTCTCCAGTGCTGTCAATGTTTGCTTCATATATTTGGATGCCGTGAGTACAAATTCTGGTGATTTGGCTGCTTTTATCGTTACATATACCCTTCTTTGTCTTTCATGCCTTTTTTAAAAAAAAACTTAAATTATTTTCCTGGTGTTTGAATAGCAGACTCTCTTCTTTTTTCATATTGTTTGTAAGAAACATCATTTTCTATATCTTATTTTTATCCTGTGCATGTCTTTAAATCTAAAGTGTATCTCTTGCAGACAGCAAATAGTTGGATTTTTGTTGTTGTTGTTGTTGTTTTTAAATCCATTCAGATCAGCAGTTCTCAACCTGTGGGTTGTGATCCCTTGGACAAACCTCTATCTCTGAAAATATTTACATTATGATTCACAACAGTAGCAAAATTACAGTTATAAAGTAGCAGTAAAAATAATGTTATGGTTGGGGTCACCATATCATGAGGTATTAAAGGGTTACAGCATCAGGAAGGATGAGAACCACTGCTTCAGATGCTCTTATGTCTTATGACCAGGGGATTTAATCAATGTATTCAAAACAATTTATTATAGAGAAGAACGTAAAACTACCTTTTAGTAATTGTTTTCTGTCTATCTTATAGTTTTTGCAGTCTTTTCTTCTCTGTGTTTTTCTGACTTATTAGTAGTGGATAGTTGCAATCTTATTTTCCTCTGTGCATAATCTACAGATATTGTTTCTGTGTTTACCATAGAGTTTGCATAGCATGTCTTATATTTATAACACTGATTTCAAGCTGGCTGCAGCTTATCTTTAACAGTATGTAGCTAGAGTTTTCCTGCCTTGCCCACAGTCAGGACAAATCTTTGTCACCCGTCAGTCTCATAGCAGCTCAGACCCAACCAAGTAAACACAGAGACTTATATTGCTTACAAACTGTATGGCCGTGGCAGGCCTCTTGCTAACTGTTCTTATAGCTTAAATTAATACATTTCCATAAATCTATACCTTGCCACGTGGCTCGTGGCTTACCAGCATCTTTTCATGCTGCTTGTCACGGCAGCGGCTGGCAGTGACTCCTTCTGCTGTCCTGTTCTTTCTTTTCTCCTCTCTGTTAGTCCCGCCTATACTTCCTGCCTAGTCACTGGCCAATCAGTATTTTATTTATTGACCAATCAGAGCAACACATTTGCCATACAGAACATCCCACAGCAACAGTACATACAATTTTTACATTTTATTTTATTTCTGAATTCTTTTGGGGATGCTTGTGATTGAGCCCAGACTTTGTGTATAATCGGTGAATGTTCTGACACTGGGCCACACCTTCAGCCCTCTGCCCCTACGTAGTGTCATTACTATCACAAATTATAATTTTAGAGCTGTATTTATTTTTCATTTATGTCTAGTACCATAAATGAAATTAATTTACATACCGTAAATTATGATATTTTGCTAGTCTGCATTTGACTATGCATTTACCTTCACCATTGGACTATCTACCTTCATATGCTTGTGTACGACTCTTATACTTTCATTTCAATTAAAAATTCTCTTTAGCATTTCTTATTTTAATAAATGCAGTGATGATGAATTCCCTCGGGTCCTATTTATCTGGGAAGGCCTTTCTGCTTTATTTTTGGAGCAACTTGGGCCAGGTATAGCAACCTTGATTGACATTATTTTTCTTTAGCACTTGAATATGTCACTGTGCACCCTTCTGCCTGGCAAGATTGCAATGAGAAATTACTTGATAGTCTTACCACTTCTTCCTTGTATGTGATAAGTCACTTTGATCTCAGGGCTTCCCAAATCCCCTATCTTTTGTAGCATGAATCTTAAAAGTTCTTATTAATAAAATCAAACCCGAGGCCAGTTATTGGGGTCAATGCTGGTAGATCAGAGAGACAGAACAAGCCACAGCTACCTCACCTCGCCGGATCCTCAGCTGGTCTTGTCTCCTCAGACTGGAGGCCTCTGAGT